CCCCACCTCCACGCCGGGCTCCCTTGTTCTCACGGTTTTCTGCACTCCAGGCGTCTTCCCGAACCAGCGGCGCGGTCCCGCCGAAGGAGGAGGAGCTCCGGGCGGCGGTGGAGGTTCTGAGGGGCCGCGGTCTGCACTCCGTCCTGGAGGAGTGGTTCGTAGAGGTGCTGCAGAACGATCTGCAGGCGCACATCGCCCCCGAGTTCTGGAATGCCATCTCCCAGCGCGAGAACTCTGCCGACGAGCCCCAGTGCCTTCTGCTGCTCCTTGACGCTTTTGGTCTGCTGGAGAGCCGCCTGGATCCCTACCTGCGTAGCTTGGAGCTATTGGAGAAATGGACTCGGCTGGGCTTGCTGATGGGCACGGGTGCTCAAGGGCTGCGGGAAAAAGTTCACACCATGTTGCGGGGAGTCCTGTTTTTTTCCACCCCCAGAACCTTCCAAGAGATGGTTCAGCGCCTCTACGGGCGCTTTTTGAGAGTCTACATGCAGAGTAAGAGGAAGGGAGAGGGAGGCACAGACCCAGAACTGGAGGGGGAGTTGGACAGCCGCTATGCCCGCCGCCGCTACTACCGCCTCCTGCAGAGCCCGCTGTGTGCGGGATGCGGCAGCGACAAGCAGCAGTGCTGGTGTCGCCAGGCGCTGGAGCAGTTCCACCAGCTCAGCCAAGTTCTGTGAGTATCGCACCTGATGGCCATGCCCCAATCCTCCTGATTCCCCGCTGCTCCCAGCTGGCTTCTGCAGAGAGCTGGTGAGCTGGTTGGGGGTCTCTGTACCTGTCTTGATGATAACCGTAGACTTGACAGAGGGAGGGCTCCAAGGATTCCTGTGCAGTGTCTCCTGGACACAGACGTCTCTTTCTGTCACAAGCAGTCCAGGGTTTCATGCTTTGCCGGTGTAAGGGCTCGTGTGGCCTGTGTCTGCAAGACCAGATTCCTTATCAATTCCAAATTTGGGGGGCTCTGCAGGACTCTGCTGTGTTATGTATCATCTCTTTGGGGGGAATGACATCCATCCTCATGGGCGTTCCTCACTCTGTGGTGGTGAACAGTGAGCTTGCTGGCTTCTTCTTTCCCAGAGTGTCAGGGAGATCAGGCCAATGTGCTGGCAAGCAGATTTCCTGTCCAGTCCTTTGGACAGGAGGGGGTTTTAGTTGTCATTTGCGACGGGTTCTGTTGTAGCGTCTGGCGATTGTCACGTCTCTGTGGTGATTTTTGGTGCTTTTGTCACATTAGCAAAGTGGAAGCAATGTACCTTTTTCAGAGTCCCTCAAATGGACTTGGGGAGTGGTCTTGCTGCTGGCAGGGGTCAAGGAGGCCCAGAAGGGCTTCTGCTGGGTGCATCTAGGTGAAACGTACACAAAATCTTTCCCATGTTCTCTTGAGCCCATTTGCCAGTGTAGGAGGCAGATGACCCTGAGATGCACGGCGACAACTGCCCTTCTATATCTGGGGCAGTGGAGCGTTTGATTGTCATTTCAGGGCTGATCCTAGGGGAGCAGGCTTGCCCCCCTCGTAGCCCCGCCTGCTGCCACTGATCACGTGGGGAAGGCCAGTGTCCCTGCCTAGGCAGAGCCCAGCTGGACAGGGAGAGCAGAGCCTTGCAGTGCTCTGTCCTCTAGCCGCCTCCTGAAGTCCGAGGGTTGGGGGCGGTATGTGCTGGATGTAGGTGTGTACTGCGCGCCCTCCACAGCAGGGCTGTCCTGGGAGTGGGGCTGTTTGGGGTGAGGGGCTGGCGTGTGCTGTGCACTCCATGGCAGGGCTCTCCTCTAGACACCGGCTCAGTCTGCTGGAGCGAGTCAGCGCCGAGGCCGTGACCACCACTCTGCACCAGGTGACACGGGAGAGGATGGAGGACCGCTGTCGGGGCGAGTATGAGCGTTCCTTCTTGCGTGAGTTCCACAAGGTGAGGCCCCCTTTCTTGAGCTGTGCCCCCTGAGGCTAGGGAGTAGATTGCTAGCAACCGTGACCCCTGGCTTTAGAAGCAGCCAGGGCGTGAAGGCCGGGGCATACTGAGGCAAGGTGGTGACTGAAGCTGTCTTGGTGCTGGGTTGAGGCTGGTATTTCTGGGCCCTGGTGACAGCAATGACACACTCAGCAGGCTGCACAGAATCTCATGGCTGGGAGCCGTGCAAGGGCCAGGGGCCCAGAAGGGCTTCCTCAAGTAGGCAGGCTCCAAGTCATGCAGGAGCTGGCCCTGCCATGTCGGGCTGCCCACTCGGCTCCTCCCCATTGTTCCCACCTGTCCCCCCCGGGGGTTGCAGACCAGCTGCTGTGGAGGGTGTCCAGAGAGGGTGTTCCCATGGTGGCGGTCCAGGCTCAGCAGGGGAAGCCGAGCCATCCGAGTGGGCTTGTCGCTGGATAGCTAGTCTGTGGGGCACGTGTACCTAGGTCCATGTGGGCATTGCTTCTCCTGGACCTGCACGCACTCAAGACGATTTTACCATTCACTGCATTCTCTGTCCAGGGGTGGGGGCGGCTGATCACGTTTCTGGTCCCAAGGGCGGGTGTTTCCATTTATGCAGGCCCATCAGACCCAGCATACGAGCCGTGGGTGTGCATCCATGTCTCCCATCAGGGTCGCTAGTGCCCGCGATAAGCGTGGGCACTGGTGTGTTTGAGAGGGCATGCAGGTGGGGGGAGGGCAGGAAAGCCCTCTTTTGGGCCACCCCCTTGCAGGTGCTGGTGCACGCCTGGCCTCCAGACACAGGTGGCCGTCAGGCCTCCCCGGGCCTTGGCCTCCGAGGGGGTGGCTGTGCGGCTCCTCCTGGCCACACTTCGCACGCCTGCTCCCCCCACAGTGGATCGAGAGGGTGGTCGGCTGGCTGGGCAAGGTGTTCCTGCAGGACAGCCCTGCCAGGCCTGCATCCCCTGAGGCCGGAAACACTCTGCGCCGCTGGCGCTGCCACGTGCAGAGGTTCTTCTACCGCATCTACGCCGGCCTGCGCATCGAGGAGCTGTTCAGCATCATCCGAGGTCAGGCTGTCCTGCCCCCCCCAGGGCTCCAGGGTCACCTGCTTCCCTGTGCTTTTGCCTCTAGCTCTTAACAGGCAGGAGATGGAGCAGAGCCGGGCCCTCGCCCTGCGGCGACCGCTGGGCCCAGTCTCTGGAGGAGGCTTGTGTGGTGGGGGCTGGATGGTGCTCCTGGGTGCCCACCCCACTCCCTTGTTTTGGCTCCTGCTGGGGACTGGCTCCTGGGCGTCCCTCTGTCTGCCTTGCAGGGCTGTGTCGGCTGCAAGCGTCCGGGGTGACGTCTCATCGTGTCCCAGGGCCCGCGGGCCTCCGTCCTCTTGCATACCACGTGCGCTCTGCACCAGCCTGCCTGTGTGCGCGCCACGTGTTTCCCTGGCAGCAGTCCCTGTTCTCACAGACTTCCCAGACTCCCGGCCAGCCATCGAGGACCTCAAGTACTGCCTGGAGAGGACCGACCAGAGGCAGCAGCTCCTCGTGTCCCTCAAGGCTGCCCTGGAGACCCGGCTTCTGCACCCAGGTGCAGTGTGGGCTGCGACTGGCCAGGGGTTCAACTTCAGGCCCTGATGCTCGTCAGGGTGTCCGGGTCCTGGGAGCCTGAGACCCCCGAGACCTGGCCTGGATTGTAGGTCTTGGGAGCCTGAGATCCCATTGCCTGGCCTGGATTGTCGGTCCAGGGAGGGGGCAGGCTGAGTGGCAGGGTGTTAGGGCCTTGGGGAGCTGGGATGCCGTTGGGGTTGACCAGTGGGTCTGGGGTGGCGGTCCTGGTTCCTCAGAGCAGACGGCCCGGCGTGGGGAGCCTGTGAGCAGATGGAGAGGGTGAGGGAGAGGGAATGGCTTCCTGCAGTCACCCTGGTCCCTGGGTACTGAGGCTACAGTGGGGACCTGCAGACCACCTGACCGGTGTGACCGCTGGCCTCTCCCTGGCTGTAGGTGTCAACACATGTGACATCATCACCCTCTACATCTCTGCCATCAAGGCACTGCGTGTATTGGATCCCTCCATGGTCATCCTGGAGGTGGCCTGCGAGCCTATCCGCCGCTACCTGAGGTGAGGGCTGTGCTACCCAAGAGCCAGCGCTGCTGGGCTTCCTCCTGCCCGGGTCCCTGTGGCCCTCGTGGAAGCTGGAGGGATACTTGGTGTCGGGATGCCAGAGACAAGGCCTCCCGTCTGGGCCAAGCAGACCAGCCTAGCCCAGGGGCTCCTTGCTTTTCTCTTGCCAGTGCTCGCGCCTTTGTTGCCCCACGGCATCACTGTGCTCTCTGTGTGCAGCTGCCGAGGCTGCCTCCGCCCCTCCTCGGCCTCCTGTTTCCAGCATAGCGAGAGGCTCACCGATGGCCAGGTCCTGGTGTGACCAGATCTCCAGGCTAGCTGGTGGGGAAGGGCGAGCTCTGTGCCACATCGGCCTTTTCCGTGACAAGGAGCTGACACTTGTTGGAGCTTTTTGCTAGAGAACATGTTTGAATGGCTGCTTTGGCACAAGTGCCCAGAACCCCTTGGGGCAGCAGAGCCCAGGGCGTGGGTCTGGAGGCACCTTGGCCCTAGGACCTAAGAGCCAGTAGTGTCTGACCCTCAGCCTGAATTCGCTGTTTCCTGGTTGTGACTGGCTCACCCTTTGGGCTAGTCTGTCCCCTCAGCTCCTGCTGTTCCCAGGAGGTGCTGGGCTTTTGATTTTTGTCCTTGGAGCAGAAGTCTGTCAGTGTGTCTTTGCTACGTGGCCAGTTATCTGGCTGCAGAGGTGGGGCTGGTCGTGCTGACCCAGCCAGGCCGGGCCAGTGGGCGGGCAGTGGGAAGTGCTGTGAGGGCCATGCCTGCTGGGGCCGCAGCAGCACTCACCCTGCAGGACGCGAGAGGACACCGTGCGGCAGATCGTGGCTGGGCTGACAGGGGACTCGGACGGGACAGGGGACCTGGCCGTCGAGCTGTCCAAGACTGACCCGGCCAGTCTGGAGGCAGGTCAGGACAGTGAGGACGACTCGGGGGAGCCCGAGGACTGGGTCCCTGACCCCGTGGACGCCGACCCAGGTCAGTGCACCACCAGGCTCTGGCTTGCTGTGGGGGAGGAGGTTGTCTAGCCTGGCCCGGTGTATTGGTCTTCAAGGTATTGCCGTGGGGCCTGGCTGGCAGGAGCAGCTGATGCTGAGAAAGTCCAAGGTCAGGGCACTGCTAGTGCCTAGCCAGCCTGGATGGGCCCATGGGGGACTGTGGCAACCTGGTCACGCCAGCTGCAGGAGAGTACCCTGCCTACCCGGCCCCCTGCCCCTTCCTGGCTCACCTGCTGCAACCGGTGGAGGCACAAGGTCCCGAATGGCAGCTTTTGTCCTGGACCCATCCATGCCCGACCTACTCTGAGGGCTGTGAGGCCCCTTCCCAGCCCCTGCCCTGGCACAGACAGTACGTGTTTGGTCTCTCTGGGAGGAAAACTCAAGGACCTTTGGTTTGCACCCTAAGCCTGGGTGGGGGTCCAGGGAGGTTCCTGTGAGATGGGAGAGGCCCAGGGATCGGAGCTGCTGCCCTGGCGTCTGGCCCAGTGAGCATGGGTGGTTCCAGTCTGGCGGGCCTCAAGGAGCAAGCCCCGTGGCTATGCCGGGCAGCTCAGCTCGGGCGTCCCCATCCCTGCCATGGTGTCCGTCGCATGCCCCCCTCTGCCACGCCAGGGAAGTCGAGCTCCAAGCGGCGCTCCTCCGACATCATCAGCCTGCTGGTCAGCATCTACGGCAGCAAGGACCTCTTCATCAACGAGTACCGCTCGCTGCTGGCCGACCGCCTCCTGCACCAGTTCAGCTTCAGCCCTGAGCGGTGAGTCAGCCTGCCAGGCGCCAGCGCGCTCTGAGGGCGCCAGGCCCTGCGTCCGGGCTGCTGAGCCACAGGCGGGCCTGCGGGAGGGCCTGCTCTGCCGGGCGCTGCCCTTGTGGGGCTGCGCTGCCGCCCTCCGTGCTGGGGTGCGCAAGCGGGGTCCAGAGCTGGCTCTGCCCGGGGTGTGCCAGGCCCCCACCACGCCCTCCCCGACACTCGCCTTGCAG